AGGGTTATTTCTGAAACAGTATGGAGCTCAAAGGCTTTCTCTCTTGCCGGTTATACCACAAGGTGAGTTCCTTTTTATTTCCTGCTTCTTCACACACATGCTCTCCAGTACAGGTTAGCTCTGAGTGTTAGCGATGCTAATGTAAACACCGACCATATTACGTCCAAAACAATCGGGCATTGTTTCTGATAGCAACGTTTCTGATAGGGCCGTGGGTCATTTCAGATATTACGTCATATCAGACGCAAATCTGGATCAGCTCCGTTGTTCCCCCGTTTTTAGAGATTTGGGTACGGAGGAAAAGAGAGAGGGTTTTATTTTCTGACGCTGCGTGAGTTCCCTGACACACCGGGGACACGTATTTATGTAGAAAAGACATCAAAAAGTGCATTTTGCATGATACAGTAGGTCCCCTTTAAGTTAAATATCCCAAAAATGACATCAGTAGAGATGTGTGTACTCACCATGCCGTGGTTGAGCCACTGAGGGATGAAGTTGTCCAGCAGGCGGGGGTAAACCAGCTCTCTGTCGTACAGGTACAGAGACCAGAAGGTGAACACCACGAACTGCAGAGAGAGAAGAGACAGGAAGTCAGCAAACAATAACAATACGGAACAGATAAAAAACACTGAGATTAAAGAAAGGGAACTCCAATGTATTACAATTGTTATTTGGTTAACATATTTCTTTGTTTAACACTTTAAATGTGTGACAAGAAATAAAGAGGGTTTCATCCTCTGATTCTTCTCTAAAACAAGTAACATATTTCTGGTAACTTTCATTCGTATTATTTTGTTTATTTTTTTACTTCTTAACAACATTTCTGGGAGGATTTTCTTGCTTTCTTGTTTGTTTCTTTATTATAAGCAACTGTATTTTGATGTGATGCATGATTGTCAAAACAGACGTGAGGTAATTGAATTTTTTTTTCAATTCTCCCACTGCCAATTATACAAAAATAAGCCATATGCCGTCAAGTGTTGCAAGAACATTTGTGACTTTGTGATCTGTTGTGTCAAGCTGCAGTAAGAAGAACACAATACACAGAACTAAGGATATCACGATATCCCATAATTTGGAACCAAGTCGAAGCAAAAATCCAGAAAACCTGAGCAAATGATGTCCACTTCCTGCAGCTGTCATCATTATGCATATTTAAAACAAATATATGCATGTTACCCCTTACTTTTCCCTCACCTGAACGCATCATATCTAACTGACTCTGGGTCAGATGTTCCGGCAGCTGAGCGTTTGGACTCGGGCCAAACCATGTTCTGCAGGACAGGGGTGGAATTACCTGGCTGTCATCTCAACCCCCCCCATCCCCATTGTACCCTGACCGGCATGTTCTCTGCTTTCAACAGGAAACACACAGACACACACACACTTTGTCCCCGTGGGCCACACACACACTTCCTCTAGTTTCTACTCTGCCCTACACAAAAGGAGATGCCTGTATAGAAATGCATTAAAAAGTGGTACGATCCAGACAGGAATGAATATAGTTTTTGCAAAGTTTTTGTCAACAATGCACAAGTCACACAGGTTTAATTGTCAAGTCATAACACACATGTATGCACCCTTACACTCGTGCATGTACCAGAGCGCCACACACACACACACACACACACACACACACACACACACACACACACACACACACACACACACACACACACACACACACACACACACACACACCACACACACACACACACACACACACACACACACACCACACACACACACACACACACACACACACACACACACACACACACACACACACACACACACACACACACACACACACACACACACACACACACACACACACACACACACACACACACACACACACACACACACACACACACACACACACACACACACACACACACACACACACACACACACACACACACACACTCCCCATCAGTCAGACTGGGTTTCCAGACATTAGCTGGTGATAATCACGTCTATTGTCTGTGTGTAAACTGAACTCTGTGCCCAACTCACACAGAGGGCTCCATGCCAGCTCTCAGCTTCTATAGGTGTGTGTGTGTGTGTGTGTGTGTGTGTGTGTGTGTGTGTGTGTGTGTGTGTGTGTGTGTGTGTGTGTCGATACCTGGGACATAGTTTTGGTCAGACAGTGAGTTACTCAGTGCAGCAGCTACAGGGCACCTTGCCAACTGAAGCTTTGAGTAAAATAAGTGTGTGTGTGTGTGTGTGTGTGTGTGTGTGTGTGTGTGTGGATCAGACGGAGGTCACTGCCTGTCTGAAGCAGGAGAGAGGACGACTCAACACGTTTGCCCCTGTTCTGTTTATTTACAGCGAGATTTTAAGGAATAATTTACCTCAAAAATGTGCATTTGTATAGCAATAACACACTATGTTACTTTAAATTCTTCGTGAAATGTGTGTGTGTGTGTGTGTGTGTGTGTGTGTGTGTGTGTGTGTGTGTGTGTGTGTGTGTGTGTGTGTGTGTGTGTGTGTGTGTGTGTGTGTGTGTGTGTGTGTGTGTGTGTGTGTGTGTGTGTGTGTGTGTGTGTGTGTGTGTGTGTGTGTGTGTGTGTGTGTGTGTGTGTGTGTGTGTGTGTGTGATCTCCTCACCGCTCCCACAGGGAAGGCCAGCACGGCCATCATCCAGTCTCTCAGGCCGATGAGCTTCCTGAGCTGCCTCTCCTGCTCCATGCTGTCGGCTCCTTTAGTCAGCAGGCTGGAGACATCGATGAGGACGCACAGAGCGAAGAACACCGCCTGGATCACCTGCAGACAGACAGAGAGAGAGAGAGAGACACATTTTAACATCGAACACACTCTTATACACTTTAAAGGTCACCTATTATGCAAAATCCATTATTTCTGAAAGTTTCAGGAACAAAGATTCTCTCTCTTTTTGTCCTGATCCATTTTTATAAAAACCTGTCTGAAAATGAGCTGATCAGATTTTGGCCACTTTATGATGTCATGATTTTTTGGCTTGTGTAACCATTAGCCAATCAGCAACCAAGGTACCCCCCACCTTATCACCTGAATCTCCTCCTAGAGCACCATTGAGTTCTTTTTAACCAAATTTCTCTCAGAGGGGCGTGGGGAGGGGCTCCTTATTTTCATCTAAAGTAACAGACAGAGAATCAGCACTTTGATATATGATATACTCCATGTATCCCCGCCCTGCTTTAAGGAGGTAAGGAAAGAAATAGCTTGGTACATTTAAAGAAGATGTGTTAATGAGAAATGATGGCGGCAATCTCCGCCATCATTTAATTCTCACCTCTCCTTCCTCTACTTCAGGCGGTAATTTCTCACATTACCCAGAAGTCATGTCACCACTCAGAGATGATTCAGCTTCAGCATGTAGGAACGCCGTTTGTAGGAAAGCAATAAACCCACCATGCTGTGTGTTTATTCTCCTCTAATACCAACACAGTGTGCACAGTGTTCCTGTTCCTGTTGTACTACAGACTCTTGACTACAATTCATGTTTGATCAACGCAACAGTCAACTCTGATAAATGATAAATAATCTGCATTTACATCTCCAGTCTTGACGACCTTTCAAAGCACTTTTACATATTCAAGTCAGCATTCACCCAGTTCACCCACATTCATTCAGAGGCTGTGTAAAGTAACTAAGTTCATTTAAAGGGGACCTATCATGCAAAATGCACTTTTGTACGTCTTTTCTACATAAATATGTGTCCCCGGTGTTCCAGGGAACTCACCAAGTGTCAGAAAACACAACCCTCTCTATTTTCCTCCATACCCAAATCTCTAAAAAAGGGGCTGCAACGGATCTGATCAAAACTGATCCAGATTTGAACACTGTCCTGACGTCAGGACGGTGGCGCTACGGCTATTGGGCCAACTCCACCAATCAGGAGGAGACAGCCACGGCCATTGCCGTTCGAAAGCGCTGGAGACGCTGTAGTACATATGCCAGGCCTGTAGGTGGTGCTGTTCTCACAGAATCAACCCTTGCAAAAACAGAGCTAAACATTTTCAAATTGAGCAAAATGAGGCATGGCTAAAATGCATGATCTGTTTGGTATTTTGAAAAAAAAAAAAGTATAAATATGCCTTATATAGGTATGGTCCTACACTATATTATTCAAATATAGCATGATAGGTCCACTTTAAGTACAGTATTTAAGTACAAATTCACCTTGCTCTGAAATGAAATAATCACAATATCACTTTCTGTCTCTAAAAAACTAGTAAAGCCATTTTTATTTATTGACTGTTTCTCTCCCATTTTCTTCAGTGTCCATCTTTACATTCAGCTTCACATGATAGGCCTTCACCACTTTTTCAAAGGTATTGGGTATATGAAAAATGTATATCATACGGTATAAAGTTCACGGTATTCGGTATGAAACGGAATACCGCCAAGCACTATCATAGTAATCATATCTCAGTGTAGCACTTATTGCAGGGCTATATGTTGCACATGTTCATACAGTCACACACACACACACACACACACACACACACACACACACACACACACTCTGATTTAGAGCCAGATGTTTGAGTGTGTGTGTGTGTGTGTGTGTGTGTGTGTGTGTGTGTGTGTGTGTTTCCCGGCTACTGGTGTGTTCAGAGGCCTGTACTACGAAGCTGGTTCAACCTAACCTGGATATGTTTGAGTTAGCCGGTTGGCCCAATCCAAAACATACGCGCTCTCGCTAAACTGTACTACGACGCTGGATATCAAGTGGATCGCTCAAGCCAGCCGTGTCCTATCTAGTTAGGTGCGCGTTCACATGAAAGGGGTGGTATTTGGAGCATTCGACCAATCTCAAACACGGACAAGCGTACTGACAGCGCAGCGTCATACTTCCTGAATGAAAAGTGAACTTTAATATTAGTCAAATATGAAGAAGTTAAACTTTAACATCCATGACTTAAACACTTTATCCAGGATAAAAGCCACATAGCTGCACCTGCAAGGTGAATACAGCTGGTAAAAGAAAAAGTGTTTGAATGCGTACATTAACAGGTTTATGAAATCACTGCCCCGTCCAAGACACGAGTGGATCTGACTTTAATTAGGAGAATTTGACTCGAGTGTTTCGTCAACTTAATGTGTTGCTTAAAATAATACTTCTGCATACAGTATGTGACACTGTGAGTGTTGCACGGCCAGATACGGCTCAGCTGACTCAGATAAGGAAATATATGATACATTATGATGTGATATGATATGAATGATAATGGCACACATCGACGTCTGCACTCACAGTGCCGCGGACTGTACTTAATGTTACTCTGATCCGGTTACTTATGTCGTGGCAGATATTTAAGTAAGCTTTCTTAACGCTAATGTTATAATAGTCAGATTGCTCTGAAGATGGGAGGGGATATTCTATTAATTTTCACGTTCACACAGTCAGTTGATTTTTGCCGGCCGTCTTTCCTGCAACGGCAGTTTTTCTGTATTTCCTCTATCCTGTAATATGAATTGATCGCTTTAAACTCTGCACACGGAGCTCTGATTGGTCAGCAGGCGGTGCTTTCACTGAGTTGATCTCTTAGCCTGCAACCTAACCTGCTCCGGACCAGGCTAGCCGCTCAGCATAAGTTACCATGGAGATCTAGCCTGCTAAAAAGAGAACCAGCGTCGTAGGACCGGAAAGCCAGAGTTTTCCCTGAAGTCAGCCGGCTAAGCGAAAATACGGCTTCGTAGTACAGGCCTCAGGTCATTAACACTACAGTTAACCAGGAGGAGAGGATAATGTGGAAAATATGACAGCAGTTTCTCACACACACACACCAACACAAAACTCAGACCAACACAACACACACACACACACACACACACACACACACACACGGCCTTAGTAAAACCACTGCTAAGAAAACTAGATTAACATTTACTACTCTTTTAGACCAATTACCAAAAAATATTTAATCAGATACATAATAATTAAAATAATGTATGTGTTGTTATTGTTTTCCCTATTGCTGCTTTTCAGCTTAAATTATTGGTTTTATTTATTTTATTCTATTTATTTACATGATATTTATCAATGGTGTTTATTTTAATGATATTGTATTGACTTTTATTCATTAATTCCTTAGATGTTATTGTTGCAATAGGTATTTATTTATGTATTCTTTATGTGATGCACTCTGGGGGCTGCATGTCTGTATGAAAGGTTAAATAAGTGGTTAGCATTAAACCAATACCTGTTGATGGATCACAGGAATGCAACAAAGAAACTCCCACAGAATGTGATAATGGAAACATTGGTTCAGCTCGTTACAGCGAACACACACAGAGAGTTACTGCTGATTGAATCAGTGTAAAGAGCTGCTGTTATGAGGGTGTGTGTGTGTGCATTGTTTGGGAAGACTGAGACTGGGACTGTGTGTGTGTGTGTGTGTGTGTGTGTGTGTGTGTGTGTGTGTGTGTGTGTGTGTGTGTGTTTCCAACATTTCCTCGTCATCATAGTGTTATCGTTTCCTTCAGAAGACATTATACTATGAAGCTTATTATATACATTTATGTATTTATTTCCTTTTCTATGTGTTCCCTTAGTTTGGCCCCTCCCACTCTCAACATATAAACACAACAACATATAACAGATGAACCATTAAAGGTGTGGGGCATCTTATAATAAAAACAACGCAGTGTCGTAATCTTGTGTCATCCTTAAATTGTAAGTATTTGCATATAGATATATATAATAATTTTCCCACACTCTGGGAGCTCTGTGTACGCGCTGTGTACGCGCGGCGCGCTCCCGAGTCACGGGGGAAGCATTTGTAGCCGGAGCACATTCTGCACCACAACACCTGTTCAGCCATTCAAACACGCTGGAGGCTAAAAAAAGACGCCATACACCGACTGTATATAAAAAACACTATCTGCAAACAGCCTTCAGTATGCATGTGTTTGAACACAGATATGAAGAGGACAGGAAGCCAGAAACGAAAGATTCATTATTTGACTCGAAGCAGCTTGCAGTTAATGCAACGGGTGTATTGGGTTGAATTAAAGAGACCATACACCGACAGTATTCAAAAACCAAAACACTACTGTATCTGCAGACAGTCTTCAGTATGCATGTGTTTAAACCCGGAAAAAAGAGGAAGAGGAAGCCAGAAACGATGAATATTAATCATTTGACACACAAAGCAGCGATTCTGCAGCTAATGCACCGGTTTTTTTAGGTTAAATTAAAGATCACTGTTCCCCTCACCAGGTCGATGAAGGTGAGGAACTTCCAGCTGCCTCCATAGGTCTGGTGCGCCGGCATGTCCAGCGCTTTGTAGTGGCAGAGGATGGAGAAGTAGGAGAGGAGGATGGCGACCCGGAGCACCTGCGAGGGGATCAGCGCCATGATGGGGGTGTGTGGGGGTGTGTGTGTGTGTGTGTGCAGGGTCCCTCTGTGCACCTGTGTACACCTGTGTATGTGTGTGAGATGTTATTTAATGTTGTTCTGGCCTGTGTTCAGCAGCTGCCTGTCTGCGCCTCTGCTCGCTCTGCAGACTGCTTCCGTGTTATGGTGATGGCGTAAGCGGAGGGGGAGGAGTCTGTAGCATAGACTGTATACAGTAAAGGTATATTTATTTATGTTTTAAGTAACAGGTGAATGCATTCTTGTATTAATATCAATCTATAAGCATAATACCTACGTTACATAGTGTATCTATCCATTAAGATAGATGGGATTTTCATTGAGAGAGTTAAAGAACATAAATTCCTTGGAATCACAATTGATGAGAAACTGAGCTGGAAACCACACATAAAACATATTCATTCCAAAGTCTCAAGAAGTATTGCAATATTAAACAAGGCAAAACAGATTCTTGATCAAAATTCCCTCTACATTCTTTACTGTTCATTGGTTTTACCTTATTTAAGTTACTGTGCAGAGGTTTGGGGCAGTAATTATAAAACTACAACACAATCCCTATTTATTCTACAAAAAAGAGCAATAAGAATTATTAAAAATGTCGGCTATAGGGATCATACAAACCCATTATTTTTAGAGCTAAAATTATTAAAACTGTCAGATCTTGTTGAATTCCAAATCGCACAAATCATGTTTAAGGCAAAACACGTTCAATTACCTGGGAATATTCAGATATTGTTCAATGAAAGACAAGGGAATCATTATTTACGGGGTTCATTTATATTCACTAATGTTAGGGTGCGCACAACAAAGAGAAGTTTTTGTGTTTCTGTTTGTGGGGTGAAGATCTGGAACAATTTGAGTGAAGAGCTAAAGGGATGTCCAAACATAAAACTATTCAAAAAGAGGTATAAAGACACAATTCTCACAAGGTACATGATAGATGAAACTGCTAAACCATAACTGTTTGTATTCTTGTTTTGTATTTTATTTATGAATTTGTGTATGTATATATATAAATATATAGAGACCATTGTCCTAACTTGCCTGTAAATATTATATGAATGATTATATAAATTATTCAAAATTATAAGTATACGTTTATATTGTATGTTAACATATATTAAGATGTAAAAAAATAAAAATAAAAATAAAAAAAAAAAGGGAGAAGGGGTCGGATTAAATAAGTGTAAACTTCTTCCGACCCCTTTTCGGACGTGTAATTAGCTAAAGCTTTATTGTTTATTGTTATTGATATCAGACAATGATACTGCAGATTATTCAATTATTAATTAAATGTTTCGTTTTGTTATTGCATTCATTTGTATTGTACTGTATCATGTCTGTATCACCTTTTGTTTCATTTGTATTTTCTTTGGTTTTACACGCTCGAAAAAAAAAACTAAACTAAACTAAACTATCTGTTAATTGTGACTGTCTGTTCAAACTAAAACTGTCTTGACGTCCTCTACAGTGGACATACTGTAACATTTCAAATGAAATACAATTATAAAAAGTCTAAATTGCAAGATGTTTTGTTAACCCCTGAGAAGATTGGAAAACACTTTTTCCCTCGCTTCCCAGGAGGATGTATATATAGGTCTGTCTGCAACACTATGCTGTTGTTATTACATTATTTTAAATCAATGCAACACGTGATTTTTTTTATAATGATGCTGAATGATACACTTCTATTTAGCACCCTCACACATAGAGTATAAATGATAGATTCAAAAGTCAGAGGTCAATTTGCTTTAAGATGTTTTTGCATTCTTGTAATAAACACAGTCGTTTAGCTCCTATTCGAATGAGTGACAGAGGATTTAAAAATGTGGTATAATGACATAATAAAATCAATACAAATATGAATACTAACAATAATAGTATAGCTAATAATTATTATTTTCCATGCACATAGTCACTCAGGAAACACATCCAAATAATGTATATAATAATAATAGGTACATAAATACAATATAATAATAATAATGATAATTTTGAAACAATAACCCTCTAGTGTTACTTTATTTCTTGCACAGGTAGTATGTAAGAAAAGCTAAACAAATAACATAATTAATAGTTTTCATTATATTATTCACGTTAAAAACTATTGATCAATTGATCGAAAACAGACTAAACGCATAATTATTTTTTTCAAATGTTTCCTTCAATTTATTTAAATACTTCTGAAAAAAGAGTATATTGACTTTGTGCTGTTTAAGCTGTAGATTATTTCAAGTATTACATTAATATTCTTATTTTTCTTAATTTTATTTTCCATTTTTACAGCGTAAAGGTAGACAGATACCAAATGATTGTCGTGTATGTGTACTATATAATTGCCTATTGTTTTATGTATGTTACCTGACAACAACACTCTGTCCATAGCTGATATGTAGGCCTGCTGCTTCCTAAGTTATTCTATTATTATTATTACATTACATTACATTACATTTAGCTGACACTTTTATCCAAAGCGACTTACAATAAGTACATTCGACCAGGAAGATACAAACTTGAAGAAAACAGAATCTTATACATGTAAGTACATCAGGTTTCATAGAGCCAAAACATTTCAAGTGCTACTCAACTGGCTTTAGATAAGTCAGCCAGTATTATTGTTGCGATGCAGAGAGAAACCATTGAAGCTGAAACAGGAAGAGAGGAAGCTGATCAGAGGTGATGCTGTTGCCACGGTGACGCTGTGCCACTGCTCAGGAAACAGTGTCATGTTGTTTCACAGGTTCTAATGAAGTGTGTTTCAAGTGTCATCACACACACACACACACACACACACACACACACACACACACACACACACACACACACACACACACACACACACACACACACACACACACACACACACACACTTCCTGTGAGTGTTTGGCTTCAGGATAAAGATACTACTGTGACATGTCTCCATGCTTTCATGTTCAAAAAGCTCTGTATTAGTCTCATACTGCCTGTGCTGCAGCACCTCTTTTCACCCTGTGGGTGTTTCTCAATGTCGAGGAGGCTTGCTTGGTAGCACATGTACCTCCGAGTGAGTTCCTTATGAAGCGAGGCAAGAATACTTCCTAGCCTCGGAAAACGAAGAGTGGAACAGGCTAGCAAGTGTGCAGGTGTGCGTCATATGAGAGGCCCCGCCTTACATTTTCCGCCAAAGGTTTTGGAAATTGGTCCGTGCGCAAAGCATTGTGGGGATTTTAAGACCGCGGAGGATACACATGTGCAGCCTCAACATTTCCCGCAACGAAGTACGCCGGCCTCGGTAGAATTCAAAGTATCCTGGACATTGGAAGAGTCCTTCGGCGGCACTCGATGACGTAGCATCCTTGAAATAGTGGCTCTGGAGTATCCTTCCTCGACATTGAGAAACACCCTCTGTCTGAAACCAGAGCCCAATCTGCTCTTATTGGTTAGTTGGCCCGGTTCTGTTGTGATTGGTCAACCGCTTAGAGATGTCCCGCCCCTTAGCCTATCATGTACAATGTGTTGAAGCGCTAGCCAATAGGAGCGCGAGTGTTATATAGTGATGTCATTATGTTCAGGAAGTAGCCTTTGCAGACCATTGACATGCACCAAAAACCTATAAAACACACTACAGGGAAGGAAGAACCCCATAAAGTAGAATAGGGCCTCTTTAAATGTAATTGTATGTTTCTGTTGCACTCTATCTTAATGCTTTTAATTGCTTTTTTGTTTTTGTAAAGCGCTTACATTGCCTTGTGTTGAAATGTGCTGAATGAATAAGAGGATTTATGAATATGAACCAATGTGACAATATGAATGGGATCTTTTTTTTATCAGTAGTTTTGCAGGGACGTTTCTTTGGACCGGGCTGATTGGCGCTTAGCCTCTTATTGTATTGCATGGTGTTATAACAATTACAATATCTACATTTCTGTTCAAAAAAGCCAGCAGTATTGAATCCATGTTTTACTGTTTAGTTGTGAAACAGTATGTTGTGAGAGAGAAATGTGACTGCAGCTTGTTTGGGGTTTGGAAGAGATTTGTGGAAAATGTGAGTGATTGGACGGAATATTCTGACCCTTGTAGGGATCCTGAAGTGTGTGTGTGTGTGTGTGTTTGTGTGTGTGTGTGTGTGTGTGTGTGCCACTCTGATGTGGGAAAAGGAGGTTTATTTCCACAATAGGAAACTTTTCACCACACACACACACACACACATACACACACACACACACACACACACATACGCACACGTATACACACACACAGAAACGTAAGTGTTAAAATAAGTGTAGGGGAGGAAAAAGTACGGTATTTTGCTCCTAATTGAAGTCGATTAGAAGTATAAAAAGAAAATATCTAGAGTAAATTACTTGGTTACATTGCATGGCGACACACACACACACACACACACACACACACACACACACACACACACACACACACACGGTTCCTTTTCCTCCTTCTTTCTGCAAAATGTTCCACAGTGGAAACTCTGCTAACTAGACAACTTATTATATATATATTCTTTAAAGATATGCTTTCAGATCAATAAGGCATGTGCTGTTGTCTTAATTTATTAATTCATGCTGTATCACAAGTTTATATAATAGAAGTGGTAGACTAAATAAAAATAAGAGAATTATGATCATTTTCATTCATTTAGCAATTAAGACCTAGTAGTAGCAACAAATGGGAAATGAATAAAAAAAAGATTACATGCCATTTCTTTTTATTTCACATAATAGATTTTAAATTCTTTAAACACATTGTTAAATGACCTGTAATCTTTACTACTGCAACAAATGAAAACGATTATAATAGAAACATTGATAGTCATACTGATGCTGACCAGTAAGCAGTGCTGTTTAGCCCCAAACTGACAGTACACCGGCTCTGTGTGTGTGTGTGTGTGTGTGTGTGTGTGTGTGTGTGTGGTGCATGTGTGTGTGTGTGTGTGTGTGCGTGTGTGTGTGTGACTTCCTTTCTCACCTGTATTTCTCTTCTGATCTCGCACACACCCTCTGAAGATCTTGGAACGTTTTATCTCACAGGTAGTTTGACCTTTACCCTTCACCTTTTACATAACATGAGGGCCACACCTCGATACACTGACTTGTGTGGGTGTGTGTACTGTACGTGCATGTGTTGGTGTGTGTGT